TGGCTTCCCCGTCCCTGAGCAGGTTTAGGGGTCAGGCACAAGGCCCAGCAGTGCAGTCCGTCTGGCCCAGGATGGTGCTGAAGCTGGGACATCCACCCAGAGCCCAAGTTCTGGCTTATTTGTGTGCTGGGATGTGAATCCAGAGTCAGTCCCAGATGCCCAGCTGCTCTCTTTGGTGAGGATTTGTCTGCTCTGAGGTTCAGGGGTTCAGCTTCACTTTTGCTTAGGGTTTTTGACAAAATCTGAGACTTTAACCTCAGCCTGCAATAAGGATGAACCTCGCTGCCAATATAAACACTATAATCAAATAGATTTTCCAGTGGACTATGTAAAAGTACAACTGCAAGGCTCCACAACCTTCTGCATATCAACAGTAAAAAATAATGATGACTAATCAATAATATTTATTTGAGGGCCTGTCAGGATCCCAAGTACAAGGCTGGATTTGAATCTTGGCAGAAATGAATTCAGTGACAGATTGCCTGCTGAGTTCAGTGCAGGGATGACTGCAGCGACACATTTCAGTGGCTGGCATTCCAGAGCTGAGGCAAGTGCAGACACAGGATCAGCAGGAGCTGTGCAGGGGCCAGGACGGCTCATCAGCCCCTCCCTTGCTCTGGAACACGTTTGTTAGCTCCCCTGTGCCATGCTGCAGGAGACATGGGCAAAGAGAGAAACCAGTGCCCAGCACAGTCCCTGGAGCATCATCTCCTCTGTTCCTGCCACACTTTACCCTCTCTCTCCAGGCACTGTGGCAATTAAAACCTTTCTTATAGACTGGTTGTTACTGTTCAGGGGGAAATATATTGGAACCAGAGAGAGAAAAACAAATTGCACCTTTTAATCCAAAACTAGATCTGAAGACTCAGCCATTGAGGGGGATTTCAGCAAAGCAGAGAGCATCAAGTGGGAAGTTGTCCCTGAACTGACTGTTCAGCAGAAACTGGCACCAGTGCTGGCAGGTGTCTGAGCAGCACAGGAGCTGGGTGGCTTAGTGGGTCTTAAAGATCATTGTGAGATCAGTGGTCCTAATGCTGATTAACTTACTTGTATTTATTATATAATTAATTATGTTGTGTGTAAAACCATCTATAGTTGTCTTAATTATTTTGTATTTGAATAAAACCCAAGCATGACACTGCTCCTGAACTCGTACTAGGATGAATCTGGGCACAGTTTTGACCTGAAGCAGCAGCACAACGCATGTGCAATTAAAGCTATTCAGCTTGGGAGTGCTAATTGTCTCCCCTCTGGTGTGAAGTGCTTCGTCTCTTACAATGCAGTGATTTTACTGATTTTTCTAGTGGCTGTATTGTGAGAAACAATACCCACTTCTGCAATAGAAAAAGTAGATTAAGACTATTAGCATCAACTTCTGTTTAATTTTGTTCACTCTGTACGCATAAGAGAAAAATGATATCAAGACTCCTTTTCTCCTTCTTGCCCACTGCTCGAATTTCGGCTTTACCATCAATCTTTTCATCCAAACTTTGTAAATTCTCATCTCCCTTCCCCAGCTCTCTGTTGGCAGCTGTCACTCTGCACACCACCACGAGAACCCTCCTGAGGTGAATGAGAACAAGATCTTGTCCATCATTCGGGACTGCTTTCACACCCCTCTCATCGTTCCCCATTTTCCCAGCCCTGTCATGGCAGATTTTACCCCGAGGCAGGCAGTGGCTCCCTCTGCTCCAGCTTCTGCTGCCACGTCTCCCTTCCCTCCTGTTCTCTGCCCAGCCTAAAAACCCCTGCCTGCACTGAGTGCACTGACTGCGTCTGCCTCCCGACACTCTCCTTTCCAGCTGGGTCCAATTTCACCCCCTCCCATGCCAAATTCCAGTTTCTAAACTCTTCTCAGAGGGTTTTCCATACGGCAATCACGGACTGAGTACCAACATCATGGCTGGGAGCGTTCCCAGCTGGAAACTCGCTGATATTGCTGCTCTGGGGAACTCTCCAAGCACCTCTCTCTCCATCCCAACCTTCTCTTACCTTGTCCTCTGATGAGTACACACAGCAAATACAAAGCTACTACATACCTTCACTTGCCCCCAGAATGCAGGGCAGGGAATGATGCCCAACAGCCTGCTCAGTTCTCCTCTCTGGATCCCAGGTCTCTGTGTTTGAGCTGCTGTGTCCTTTGCACAGATCTTCGTGCTGTGTTTACTCCCTTGAACACCTCTCAAATATCATTTCTATCTCCTGCTGCATTATCATGTCCCACTACACTCCAACCTTCAGACACTTCTGCTTACTCAAGTCCAGCCCTTAGAGTAGGTCTCTGAGTGGTTCTTCTGGAGCTGTTGTATTTTTTGCATGAAGTGATGGCTAAAAAGTGGTCAGTGGCAAGGCACAAATAAAATAGTGCTGAAATAGGAAGGTGCTCAGCTTTGGGGTTGTGTATTTTAGGAAGGAGCAGACTGGCTCAAGCAGCCATGAAGTTAACTGAGAGATTCTGAATATGGTTCTGACTTAGCAACGTTTCAAAATGTTTCCCAGCATGCTTCAATAACATGATTCAGTAATTGTGTCATCGGAAGAAGAATATCTACTATTAGAAGGCAAAATTATGTTATAGGAAAACCAAACCAGCTCTCTTTGCTTTCCTTCCTTGAGACAGATTCCACACGTGTCTCAGGGAGCTCTCAAAGTACCTCAGTTCTAAGGGCTCTAACACCAAAGCACCAGCTTTGGTTTTAAAGTTTTGTGTAATTCCTGGTTTTTCAATTTACATTCCCATGTAAAAAAATTTGTGGCCTCCTGACTCTTGTGACCACTGATGTGAAGATGCCACTTCACGCCCAGTGAAACCCAGGTGTGACTTGCAGTGGCAAGCAGGGGATTCCCATGTCCCACTGAGCCAGAAAGTCCCAAAGCAGCCTCAGAGACACAATAAAATGTCACCAAATTCTTCATAAGCACTACTTCAGTGAATTGTGATAGACAGCATGTACAGATTGTCAGGACACCAGTCACCTGAAAATGCAGGAGATCCTTAAGTTACATGAAGTTTAAAGAATTGGTGACAACTTTTCTCTGCTTCTATACTTCAGGCAAGGAAACAAATTTCCTTTCTAGCACTGTAAGGCTGAGTTCCAGCGTGTCACTGAACCAGAAAGGGTGTGAACACTGAGGATGGAGGGAATTACACTTTACTTCCTCCTCCAAGTGCTTGTGTCTTTCTGAAGTAACAAAATCCATCCCTGTCACTCCTAGAGGGCTTTTTAGAATTCATCCTCGTTTGTTGAGGAGATCTTGAGCAGTGTCATGATCCACAAGGAAGAACTGCATGTGGGGTCTTGTTCTAATCCAATGTTCCTGCTGCAAAATGGGGTGTCCAGTGGTTCTGCACAGGTGTGTGTGTGAGCACGCGTGCACAGGGCTCACCAGAAAGGTCACAGCCCCGCCTTTGGGCACTTGCTTGTTCTCAGGGTGTTAACCCAAAATGGGAAGGCACACGGAGAGATTCCTGTGCATGGCCAGGAGCTGGACTCGATGGTCCTGGTGGGCACCTTCCAGCTCAGCGCATTCTGCGCTTCTGTGACCAATTTGGATTTCAGACATGGCAGTGCACAAATCACACAGCTCCTGTGTGGCCTCACAGAATTCCCTGATCAATGCCACTGTCCCATCCCATGGCAGGCTGGGCAGGGTGTCCCAGCGACGCTCCCACATGGCCATCGCCTCACTCGACGCCTCCTCCCCTCCCTGGGCGCCCCAGCCCTGGCCAGGCTGCGATGGGCACAAGCCAGAGCCAGAGCAGTCTGGCTAGGAAGGACTCGATGGCTCAGCCGGTGCCACCTCCCTGCTCCAGCAGCGCCAGCCCAGAGCACATGGCACAGGACCGTGTCCAGACTGTTCTGGAATGAGACCCCAGAGCTTCTCTGGGCTCTGCTGAGGGCTGGCACTGCCCAGGGCAGCAGCTCTGCCTCCTGTGCAGGGGAACTGCTGGGCTCAGTCCCTGCCCGTGGCTCTGGGGCCATCGCTGGGTCTAGAGCAGAGTCTGGGCCTGCCGTGACCCCCTGCACACCGGGACAGACACAGGGACAGCCAAGGCTGAGGGCTCCTCTCCAGCCTGAGCAGCCCCAGCTCCCTCAGCCCCGCCTGAGCACGGAGATGCTCCAGGCCCTTCAGCATCCTCGCGACCTCCGACGGATGGGCACGGCAGGCCCGGGCGGCCTCGAGGCCGGCCGGAAGGCCCGTGGGCCGGGCTGGCAGAGCAGAGCGGGCCGGGCGGGGCGGGGCGGGGCGGGGCGGGGGTGCCCCGGGGCCCGCGGGGGCGACCCGGACCCGGCCCGGCCGCTGCCCTGAGGCGCCGCCGCCGCCGCACGAGGCCCGCGCGCGCTCCCGGGGCCGCCCCGCGGTCACGTGCGCGCCCCCCGCGGTCACGTGCCCCGCCCCGCTCGCGCCCCCGCCCCGGCGGCGGCGGCCCCTCAGGACGGGATGTAGTCCCGGCCGGGGGCGCGGCGGAGGGATCCCCGCGCCGGACCCAGCCGCAGGGCGCGGCGCCTCCTAGCGGGGCCGGGGTAGATCCCGCCGCCACCGCCGCCGCCGCCGCCATGGCCGCGGCCGCCCCGGTGCGCCCCGCGGGGGCCCCCCCGCGGCGGGGACGTGTCACCGCCCGGTACCGCGGGCGCGGCGGGGCCGGTCCCGCGGGGATCTCCGGGGCTCCCCCGCCCCCCCGGGGCGCGGCCCCCTCCCCTCCCGCCGGACAATGAGTCCCGTATGCTAATGAGGGTCTGGCGTCACTTCCGCTCTTTCTCGGCCGCCATCTTGGCCCGGGCAGGCTCTGGGCAGCGGGACCCGGCTGTATTGTCTGAGGGGCCCGGGCGCTGCCCCCGCCCGCGCCCCCGCCCCGGGCACCCGGCCCAGTGACCGCCGCCCCCGCCCCCGCGGCCGCTCCGCACCGCCCGCCCCACACACTGCACCCCCTCCCCGTCATTTCCCCCTTTGTCTCCCCCGCGCCGCCGGCGGCTCCGCTCCGCCCGCCCGCCCCGGGACCGGGCGGCGCCGGGGAGGGTCCGGCGGCCCCCCCCGCCCCAGCCCGCCCTCGCTGCGAGGAGAGCCCGGTCAGGTAGGTGCGAGCGCGGGTCCGCGGTGCGACCCGGGCGGGGACAGCGCCCGACCGCCCCCTCCCTCCCCCGGGCATCCCGCGCCGAGCCCGCCGCCCTGCCCGCCGCACCGGGCGTGCGGAGCTGGCAGCGGCCCCTCCCCGCCCGCACACATGTTGAGGAGCCCCGGCGGCTGCGGGGACCGCGGCGCTGCTGCCTCCCCGCCGCCGGCCCCGGCCGCCTCCCTTCCCCACACGGACGTGTCCCGGCAGCCCGAGGGAGCGGGACCGCTTGCTGCCGGCCGCGTCCGGCATCTCGGTGTGCAGCTGCACCGGGCCCCGCCGGCGGAGTTGGTGCTGGAGCGGCGCCGGGGACGCGATGAATGGGAGCAGCCGAGGGGTCCCTGCCCGCGGGAAAAGGCGGGATCCGCCGCTGCCATCCCGAGCCGCAGCCGCGGGATGCAGCGCCGTTGCCTCACCCATCCCTGCCCCGGGCTGCAGTTACCGACACCCGGTGCTGAGACAAAGGCGGGAGACACGAAACCCGGAGCCTGGCAGCCGCACCGGACAGATACCCCCGTGCCACGCACCCCTTCCCGCGGCGGCTGCAGCCCGGGCGGGGGTTCCCGGACAAGTGGCAGTGCGTGCGCGGTGCCGGGGGCTCGGCGCACCCCCGGTGCCTCCGGGCAGCGGCCGCGGGCGTGACACCCCCGGCCCCCCCGAATCCGCCGCAGCCCGGCCGGGGCGCTGCGCGGCGGCAGCCGGCAGGGGGCGCCCTGCGCGCCGGGCACCGCTGCGGCGGGGGGCGGGGACGGAGCGGGCACCGGGCGGCTCGGCCCGGGTTCTGGGCCCCTGTCACCGCCGGACCGGGGCTCCCGGGCCCCTGTCACCGTCCGGCCCCGGCTCTGGGCCCCTGTCACCGCCGGACCGGGGCTCCCGGGCCCCTGTCACCGTCCGGCCCCGGCTCTGGGCCCCTGTCACCGCCGGACCGGGGCTCCCGGGCCCCTGTCACCGCCGGACCGGGGCTCCCGGGCCCCTGTCACCGCCCGGCCCCGGCTCTGGGCCCTTGTCACCTCCCGGCTGGCTGTCCCCACTCTGGGCACGGGGCTGCAGTCCCCGCTGTGGGGCGAGCCTCGAGGGGCTTTGTCTGGGACCGCAGGGCAGAGCCCCCGAACTGGGCACTGCCAGGTGTTGATGATTGTTGGGTGTATTTAGGCCGTTTGGTAGGTCAGAGAGGTTTGTGTTCCTTGTAGAGAAAGCCCCTCTTTCTTGAGTTGAGGGGTTTATTTCCCTAGCTGTGTTCCTATTTATTTTTGCTGCTATTTTCTATTTCTGCTTGGAGGTGTGAGGTCCATGCTACCCCACCTGTCAGGGTAGCATGGACCGACCTTAGCTGGCTGCTGTGCAGCTCAGCCTCGTGTGCCTCAGCAGTGCTCCCTCCTGCAGGGTCTCCTACTTGGAAACTTTCACTTCAGGACTCTGCAAACTCATAATCACAAGTTGTCATCCTTCTAGGTGAGAAAGATGGATCAGTCTGCTTAAGAAACAGAAAAGCTTTTTTTTTTCCTGCTTTTAATAACAAACCAAACCAAAGCTTGGTTCCTTTGCAGATGTGCAGTTGCAGATGTTGAGCAGTAATTTGATATCAGTAGATGAACATTACCATGGTATGTGCTGAAATCTTAAAGGAGACAACAGAGGAGAATTGTTAAGAGAATTACACCAGATGCTGATGAGTTGTAACATAATGGTTACCTTTTCTGAAGATTTTTACAGCATATATTTCCACCTTCAGTCTACCTAGAGATGTCCTTTTTGACACACAACAAATAACTTGTTCTCCAAAACTGACACTAAGCTGGATGGTTTTGCACTGTTTTTGGTAGTTAGATGCCCTGTGCTCAACTTAGCATTATTTCTTAGCTAGCATTCAAGAGTGACTTTTTGGTATCCAGCAGACATGAGATGCTCCCAGGGGACATCTCTGAGATCATTGAAAACTGATACCGTTTTAGTGCCCCATTACTAAAAGTAATTTTTTTTTGTTTTGAATAGAAGCATTGGTCCATCAGACAGGTTTGTAGAAGGCATCTCTTTATGTTACCACTATTTCTGTGTCAGGGTGTGTTGTCATGAAGAGCCTGCAGTGCACTTGTGTTAGGCTGAGGGAGGTAGCTGCTGCTGGGTGTGCAGGGGAAGGTGAAAGGTGACTCCTTTGCCTGCAGGTGAGACAGACCCAGTGCCACAGTTGGCAATGGGAAGTCTTCACAGGAGAGGAAGACTGAAGAGGAACTTCCTGACTGTTTTGGAAAGTTCATGCCCTGCAGCGTTCAGCACCAGCTGCACACCAGGAAGGTGCGTGTGCTCCTCGGGCTGAGAGCAGGAACGTGATGGGTTTTCTGTGTGCAGGGCAGAGGTCGCCAGTGGCCAGAAGTGCTCCCTGCCACTGGCACAGCGGTCCCTGTTAGTGCCACAGCGTGTGGGTTAAGTGTGAGCTCTCACTTGTTGGTGCTGCCCCAGTCCCTGTGCTGTTCTGGGCACTGTGAGCTGGAGGGAAAGGCAGGACACTGTTCTGGGGCTGCTCACACACTGCAGGGTGAATAACGGCTGATTGTTCCCACCTCAGCTCTGCCACATTGTAATAACGTAAATACTGAAAGTAAACACTGAAGTTTACAGCAGAATCTTATCAGTAGTCATAAGTGATATGGTCCAAATGTGTATTTTATAGCTTGTTATTAAGATGGCAGCTGATTTGATTGATGCAAAGAAAGAAATTGAAACAAGTGATTTTGTGGAAGCAAAGATGGTGCTCCTAGGTTAATATGTTTGAGGTAGCTGCAAGTAACATTTAGCAGCTTCATAGGAAATGTGTTGGGGTGGTTTTTGTGGGGTTTTATTTTCAGAAAGGGGAAGTCATCTTTGCTCCTCTACTTGAGGTATTTAAGGGACACAAAATTCCATTGGGAATGAACAAAGCAGTATCAGATCTGAGGAGGACTAGTTAAAAGTCTGTAGGAGAGGTGCCAGGAGAGGCAGGGAAGAGCTCTGAGGCTGCAGCTGCTCACTGTGCTGTTTCACAGGTGCCATTGGAGCTGCTCTACCTGCATGGGCAAAATTGACATTGTTAAAAGCCATTAGTGCAGCTGAGTTTGTATATTAATAATGCTACATGTAGTGGGATTATTTTCTTTAAGATACACACACCATGCTTGTTCGAAAAGGCAGCAGCTGACTATGCTGGCCTGTATCTAAACAAGCATCACACGATTTTTTTGTTATATTGAGTCAAGAGCTGCTCTGTGCCCAGATTTGCACACAGACACATATATATATATATATATATAAATGTAGGGTATGGTTCCTATGAACATAATTGTAACAGGATAATTTCTAATGGGGAGATAGTTCTGCTCATAGAAGTAAATCTGTTGCTAGTGGTGTTTCTTGATAGTGTAAGAGATGGAGATGACAATGAAAGGTGCTGCTCTGAGTCTCTGCATTGGAAAAAAAAGAGCCCTTGTTGATGTTAATTTAGTTTTACTAAAAAGAAGTCCTATACCTTCAGTATGTGTGGGAGGTTTACTTTGCCCCACCTGACACATTTGGGAAGAATGCCCTTGCCGCCTAGGCAGGATGGCCACAATGGCCTGTTCCTTTGGAGCTTTCAGGAGGAACTGAAGTCTGGTTTGAAAATCAGATGGGTGTTCCAGCTTTGAGTAAAGGCTTTCCAAAGGGTGGAACTCCCGTTTATCTACCTGAGGGCCATGTGCCTCCAGGCAGGAACTGCATTGTTAGAGCTTCACTGCAGCTCTGGTGTCAGAAGGCAAACTGGAGCTTGTATTTCGTGTCTCTGATTTCTCTGTAGTGCTCTTGAATGTGAATGAGGGTTGATGGTTTGGAGTAAGAATGGAGTAAATACCATTTTTTCTGCAGTGACTCACTTTCAGTTACCGCCACTTTTATCCTTACTGGCTTTTGTTTTGGTGGCTTTTTTAAGGTGGCATTAGAGATTATTTAGATGAAAACTGAGAGTGGCTGTGGAGTCCAAGGCCTGTGTAGTTGACCTTGTGGACACATCACACCTGCAGATGTATGCAGATCACTTGGCAAAAAGCTTTCATTTAATATCTGCTTCTCAAGTTGTATCTAAAACACTCAACAATAAATAAAAATAAAGCAACTGTGTGAGCAGCTGTTCCCTGAGGGAGCACTTGCACTCCTCCAGTGCTGCAGGTGGAGGACAGGGCCTGCTCTCAAGCCTGCCTTCACTTTTGGCTGTTTATTCCCTGCCCCAGCTCCTCTCCCAGGTCTCAGCCAATGCTTTCTTTCACCCTGTTCTCCCTCTGTGTGCAGTGATTCCTGATGGGACTCTGGATCTCACAGCTTGTGCCCGTGCTGCAGCTGGGCCAAGGAAGCTGTTGGTGATGCAGCTTCATAGCAGCAGCAGTCAGGGGACAAAATGGCTCTGGAAGTCTGAGTGGGCACGATAGTGGTCTTCAAATGCTTTTTCACCTAAATAGTCAAATTCAAGTTCATGATCTTTTTGTTTTGTTTCCCATTGCTGCTGCTGTTGCTATGAAGCCCTTTGCCTACCGAAGGTTCCTGAGGCAGATGGAGGACAGCAGTAGCTGAGGTGGCCTAACGCTGCAATGTAGGCAGGGGCTGGAGCCCTTTGGGAGCTGTGCTTAGGCAGAAGGGGAGAGGTAAGAAATGTGCAGTGTAAGACTGAGCCGGAGCTCGTGTTTACAGCCTTTCCTGTTGCAATGGCAGCGTCGGTGCCTCGCGTGTGTGAAGTGTAAGGCAAGGGAAAACAAGCGGCACCAGCCTCCTTCAGTGCCTATTTTTACCCTTGGAAAACTCAGATGCAGCCAGTTGGCGAGATCCCTCCGGTATCTGCTGGATCTGCTGTCTGAGACAGCGTGCATTGGCGGGGCTTTGGATGGGCTGGGCAAAGTAGTGCTGTGCTCTTTTGTGTGCTGAGGGCACCGCAGGGCTGCTCTGCGCTCTGGGTGTGCATGCCT